TGGAACAATCTGAGAAGGTTGTGCTCTCGAAGACCACCCCGACTGTTGGAAATGCGTGAGATTAGTCGGATGACCCCTTCCGCCTTGGAAGTCAGACGGTCGATCATGTGGCTGTTCTGTCCATCAGGCTCCATAATCATGCCTAGAACGCGTATGAAGTCCTCGCTTGGAATATGCTGCCCTGATGCCGTGTGCAGCCTAATGTCGATGTCGACCAGTGGTTGCCAATTTTTGGGTTTGAGTCCCCGTCTCGTGGGTCGATATAAAAGAAGTTCGGACTTTGACGGCGAGAGCTTGAGGCCCATTTCCTTTATGTAGACTTCAACACAGTCGACAGCCTCTTGAAGAGATCTCTCCACAGAGTGCTCTCTTCAACAGAGCTCTCAGGGGAAAACAGTGGGGAGACGATATCACCATATAGACGATATTACCACCTGGACGATATCATCATATGGTGATATCGTCCGTGCAGATGGCGAACTTGATGCCTTCTCGATTTGAGAGCTTGGCAGCAAGGCCGCGCATTGCACTTTTAAACAGCAGTAGGGAGACGACTGAGCCCTGTGGGGTGCCGAAGGTAACGAGATCATAGGGCTTAGACTTGAGATCCCCAAGCTGTATAGTGGTTTTTTTATTCCTGAGGAACGAGCTGGTGAACTTGTGAAAGTTTGCTCCCAAGTTGAGAGAAGAGATTGAAGCAAGTATTTGGAAGTGCAAGACATTGTTAAAGGCCTTTTTATTTATTTATTTATTTATTTATTTATTTATCACATACTGCGGACCAAGTATGGTCCATGCAGGAGAGGGCAATACAGTACAAAATTCTTCTACATACATACACTTCCGCTGCAGTATACATTCACTGCAGAACAAAATTCATGTACATTAAAAACTCATGAAAAACAAAGGACAAATACAGGCAAAGAAGCAGACTTAAGCAACAAAAAAAGGGTATAGTTTCATCTCGGCGTGTTGAGCATAGGGGAATCATGGGGCAGAGCATTCCAATCAGAGACAGTTCTCGGGAAAAATGAATACTTGTAAATGTTAGTGCGTGCAAATATAGGTGTAATGCTACGACTATGTTTATGACGTGAAGACCTGGTTGTGTCCTGTGTTATGTAATCTGGTGCGTGCAATCCTGATCTGGAAAAGTATAAAAGGCGGAAAAAGTTAAGCCGTGCAGTTTTCCTTCGATCGGCCAAAAGTTGGAGGTTCGCATCCTGCAACAGGGCTGACGGCGAATCGCGATATCTATACCGGTTGTATATAAATCGAGCAGCTAATCGTTGTATTTTTTCTATTTTCTGTATATTACCAGCTGTGTGGGGGTCCCACACAATGCTGGCATATTCAAGAGAAGGACGAACTATGACTTTATAGGCTCTAAGTTTTAGTGAACTAGAAGAACGACCCAATTTATATTTTAGAAAGCCTAATTTTCTCCTGGCAGCAGAACATATATCATCAATATGTGCTGTCCAGGTAAGCTTCGATGTAATCGTTACGCCCAAGTACTTGAATTCTTCTACTTGCCTGATAGCGTATCCACCTACATTATAAGTAAACTCCAGTTTTCGGATTTTGTTACTCAGACATAAATATACAGTTTTCTCAAAATTAATTACCATTTCCCACTTTTTACACCATTCTTTTATGTAGATTAAGTTCTCACACAAGTCATGCTGGTCAGAGATAGAATTTATGGTATTAAAAATTATGCAATCGTCTGCAAATAACTTAACAGACACGCCAGGTCGGATGGCTTGAACTAAATCGTTAATATAAATATTAAATAGTATAGGCCCGAGAACTGACCCTTGCGGGACTCCAGATAACACCCCCAAATACCCAGAGGTGAAACCGTTTATATCTACGTACTGTTTTCTGTTCGTTAAGTATGCTATGACCCAGTTAATTATTTCCGGAGGAATGCCAATAACCTTCATCTTATCTATTAGCTTGATATGCGGGACCTTGTCGAAGGCCTTGGAAAAGTCCATAAAGATGACATCAACCTGTCCAGACTTGTCCAGAACTTTGGAGAACTCGTTAACAGTTGCTAATAATTGTGTGGTGGTAGATAATCCCCGTCGGAAGCCATGTTGCGCGCTGTGAATTACTTTATTTTGTTCAAGAAAAGTATTTAAATATTTCGCTATAATATGTTCAAGTAATTTGCAACAAATACAGGTAAGGGAGATTGGTCGATAATTACTGACTAATAATCTGTTGCCTTTCTTAAATACCGGAATTACACGTGCTAGCAGCCAATCGTCGGGCACTGAACTAGTTTTAATCGAAACATCAAATATTATTACTAGGAATCTAGCTATAATTTCAGCATACCTCTTAGAAAAACAGCTGGGATACCGTCAGGGCCGGTCGATTTTTTTACGTCTAGCCGCAATAATAGTTCTGTCACCCCTTCCAAGGATATATTTATTAGGCTTGAAGGACCTGGCACCGTCATAATACTCAAGTTTTGTGGTCTTGAGAAAACGCTCTGAAAGTAGGAATTAAATGCGTTTGCTATTTCGTTTTATTTGTGACAGTGGTTTCTCCGTTCATTATTTCATCAGGGATACGGTTGTCTTTGTTTTGCAAGAACTGGTAAAATTTTCGTGGACTCTCTGCCGCAAAGCGGCCTAGTGTCTCGGTGTAATAATGTTCCCTAGCCTCCTTCAACTTGGATGCTAAAGTATCTCTTAGATCGTGCAGAACTACATCATTAGCTATTTTTGCTTTCTACGCCTTTTAATTTTGCGTTTTAGGTGAATTAGATCGCGCGTTATCCAGGGGTTTGTACGGCCAACTTTTTTAAGTTTATCTGGAACGAAATTGCGAATGCAGAAGTGGCAATAAATTTGAATTGTGTCCATAGCGAGTTAACACTGCCGTCGCAAAATGATAGCAAAGCTTCTTCTAGGTAGTGAACAATCTGGAAATCGTCTGCAGCAGAATACTGTTTTACAACTACGGGCTCAGGTCTAGATGACCTTGTTCTACGTGGTAAAGAACAATTGAAATTGACCAATTTGTGATCAGAAATGCCATCTAAAACTGTTGCCATACAGGATTCAAAACTTGAGGAACAGAAAACGAGATCTAGTATTGAAGAAGCTTTTTTGTCGACACGCATTCTATTTTAAGATCGAGTCCGAGAATGGATTCAACGTCTTTCGTCTCCTGATCTATGGTGTGATGCTCGAGCATTTTTATGACGTCCTGAGTAGGTGGGTGTGGTCTAAATTCTATCATGTTGTACGGGAACAGGTTAGTCTTCTCTATGTGTTTTGATATCCGATCGATGATGACATGCTCCGCGACCTTGTCTATACGAGACGTCAGTGAAATGGGTCGCAAGTTGCCAATACTGCTACTCTGGCCAGGTTTAGGTATGAAAATAACCGACGCCATTTTCCAATGCTCGGGGAAAGTCCTTGTCTCCCAAATACGATTGATTTCTTTGTTGAGGTAGGTGACAAGTCATCGTCTAAGTTGCGTAGTGTCTTGTTTGTAATGCCGTCCGGGCCCAGGCCGGATTTCCCATCAAGATTGTTTAAGGTGGTGCGAACCTCTGCTTCCTGAAAGGGCTTGTCCTATTCGAAGGCTGGTGATCCCGTGTATTGCGCGAAGCCAGAAAGAGGCTGGGCTGTATCTAAAGGGAGGCATCTCTGTGCCAGACGCTCCATTATTTCTGTGTCTGATTTATTTTTCCTTTTTGGGTAGAGAAAAACGAAGAAAGTGCTCAAGGTCACGAAGCTCACGTGACGTCTTTCTTTGCCCCTGCCATCCCTCCTTGCTTGGCTAGTAACGGTTTTGTCAAGACGAGCGAAAAGAGAATGCGATTGCAGCTTGTGACGAATCTTTGTAACTTCATTCGCACTGGACGGATTCTTTAAATTTTTGCTGCATTGTACTCTAAGACAATAAGCTCTTCCAGTGAATTAATTCTATGGTTAGTTGAAAAAGTGTTTCAGGTCCCCTTTAAGACACAACCACGTTGCCTGATTTTATTGGTGTTGATTCTCGAATGCTTTTCCAGGTTGTCGCTGTACAGGAAAATCAAATAAGATTGGCTGGTAGTGTGGGGGCACCTGTCGGAGCAGATATCAACCACTCCGCAGTCTTCGTTTCTATTGCCAGGCGGTGTGCGTGCTGCTGGGTGCACTGGGCACATAGGCCTACAATTTCGCGGACAACCTGTCGACACGCAATCTAGGAGGCCATGACTAGGCAAAGCTCAAACCGTTCCATGCACTCAAGAGAGCATTGGGTGGAATGTCAGCACGTCTCATGAATTGAGAAGGCAAGGCAGGAGTAAGAAAAAAGGTGCAGATATAATTGTCAGTAGCGGCCTCGGTACATGTCATGTCAAATGATTTTACGATGCTCTAGCCTTCGAAAAAGGGTTTAAGAATCACTTTCATGAACGACATCACCTGCCACAAATGTGTAGTAGCGCCTACTTCACGATAAGGGATCCAGAGGTCGCTTTTTTAGGTTCTGTCCATGTCGTGTGGAACTAATTGGTGGGTGCTAAAATTTGTACATTTTAGCACCCATTTAAATATTCGAACTCTGCTTATTGCCAACAATTTCATAGCCCCCTCGAGCTTGAATGAACAAGCCCACAGGGCTAGCATAAAGCTTGAGGGGGTGTCAGAGCCTCTATCATTTCGAAAACGCAATGGTGGAGGCTCTGAAATGCCCTGCTTTTGTGTGTTTATGTGTTCAGGCATAAACTCATATCTCTCGCATTTTATGCAAGTTGAGCGCATGTCCTGTGCGCTACTTTTCTCATCCTCTATTGAATTGCTTGCTTTTTCATAAAAAATTAACTTCAACCCAACACAACTTGCCATCTTGCTTCAAATCTCCAACCCACTGGCTGCTTTTCTTTGTTTCAGTGGCATGTATGTTGAAGACAATGCACAGGTAACATTTTTCTACAAGAGCTCGTGTGGAGTTGGAGCGTTTTTGCATTGCCCTTGCAGGAGTGCTGGCCATGGAAAGCTTGCATCGACAAGTCCTTCCATTCTTGCTGCGTCGAGTCAAGGATGACGTCCTGCAGGATCTGCCCCCAAAGATAATCCAGGACTACTACTGTGAGCTGAGCCCACTACAGGCATGTATTCACTGGGACCATAAGCACTTGCAGTAAATATCAGCAAATTGCACACCGAAAAGGCATGGCTCGAAATGCTGCTTATAATCCTGCTTGTAAATTGATGCCTTAGGTAGCATGCAAGGGCTTATTGGTCAGCAGCCACCTCGTGTAAAGTTCAAATAGCTTGAGACACCCTCTGGCAGAAAAAGTGCTCTACACTAGCTGCCTAGACTCTGAATGGTGCTGGCTAATACGATGAAGTATCAAGCTGATGTAAATACCCGACAGAAGTGGGTGTTGTACGGGGTCCGTCCTATGTACGGCTGATGCAGAAGCCTAGCTAATGTTCCAGCCGCACTAGTCGTACGGTGCACAATTAGCGTCCCCTATCCGTAGCTCATCTCACTGCAGCTACACAGGTTCGGGCGAACAAGGCAACAGGCTAGGTCAACATAACGACACTTTATTGCTAGGCGTTAGCAATAGCGTACAAATGTTGCGAGGAGAAAGTACAGAAAACAAGGGTAGATGCTTACTCCTTGGTCATTAACGTCCTAGGCTCGCAGGGGGGTTGTGGGTCCGACCTCTTTGGTTCCTGGCCGGTGTCAGAGAAGCCGTGCGGCCATCCGCACGCCATTTTTGTCCTCTGTCCCTGTTTCCCTCTCCCTGACGAGAATAATACCTTTTCTCGCTGAGGGAGAGGAGACCCGTTCCGCGTGCCAGGACAGGGGGGAATCACGAGCGCTGGCCGTGCGGGTATTTCCACAACACGGCTTTCGCGCTGCCGTAAAAAGAGAAAGGGAGGCGGGGTGCACATGCTCCCCCACATCTCCCCCCCACCTTTAAGAAGGCCCCCCGTACGACAGAGACTGCAACATGAGAATATTTTGTTATTCATCATCGAGGACGGTTAGGACGGTGGGTCCCAATCCGTGCCCTCCTGCAGTTGGCCCTCTGCCGTAGGTGCAGCTGGTGACCCCACTTGTCGCCGCTGCATCCAAAGTAACCACCACCACTGCTGCCGTGCCCACTTGCGTCATGACCAGTCATTGCCACCGCTGTCATCTCCTCCACCGCCACTGCCACTGCTGTCGCCTTCCCCGCCGTTACTGCTGCCCTGGACCCGGTGCCGGTATCACTCTGGTCTGGAACACACCCCGTTGTCCCCAGCAACTCAGGGTGCTGGTGGCCATTGAGAGTTGCCTGTTAATGACAGTCCCGTTCAGCACTGGCTCAGGCTGCTCTCTCCAGCATGGTCTGGGCTGCCGCATAGGGTCACAACTCCACTGGTCTGGCAGGCTCGGGAGTCTCATTTTCAGCGTGCCACGTCATGAACTCGAGGTAGCAGAGGCCAAGGGGTGCCTGGAGAACCATGGGTCGGCTTGGTAGGCTTGTCGTCATGACAGTGGCTCTGAGGCAGCTGGCTCTCTTGGCTGGGCTGGCGGCTGGTCACCCTGGCGCCTTGGCGCCTCTTGCATAAAGGCCCGATGGGGTAGGTTGAGAGTGGCATTGTTTGGTTGGGTGGGGCTGCGATGACGACATCGATGACGTTAGGGGTGATCCGGCGAGAGGAGTGGTTTCCTCTCCGAGCTGTTCCGGCGGCACCTCTTTCTCTTTCGACTCTCCATCTGCTCGGTGAAAGTCGACACAGAAAAAAGAACAGGTTGACAATTGCACATGTATTGCGCGCGAACCCTTGCGCCCCACGTCGAACTTATCAAACGCGGCCTACCATGCATAGTTGGCTCTGCCTGACACACAAGAAGTACTGCGGTTCTGGGCTCCTCATTCAGTGTCAAGCGATATTACCCGTCGCGCGCGGCTTGGAGGGGGACTGGCCATAGTCCTCATGCTCCTCCCGGGCCACGTGGCGTTTCAAATCACATAGGTGCACCGGTCCGCCGCTCGGTTTGCTTTTTATGTTCGCGAGCCGATAAACGAGCGAAGAAACTTTCTCTCGCACTCGGTACGGTCCGGACTATTTCGCTGCCAGCGAGGCAGCTAACTGTTTACTAGCATCGCTGAGAACATGATGGCGCTGTGCAGCACCAAATCGCGTACTTCGTAGCGTACATTCCGATTCATGCAGTCGTACTGCGCCTTTTGCTGTGCCCTAGCATTGCTGAGATTATGCCGAGCCTTATGTAAAGCTTCCGCTAGCGCCTCCCGCAGCTGCGTTGCGTATTCAGCGCGTGCTGATGTCGCCACTAGCACTCCTCTGCGATCCGCAAGTACGGTCCCCATCGACTTCGGCAGTTCTCTCTCCAGATTCAGAGAAGAAGGCGCATACCCAGTTGATTGGTTCACAGTCGATCGCAATGCAAAACCGATCTCTGGAAGGTAGGTATCCCAGTCGCTATGGCTCTCAGAGATCGCAACAAGCATCTGCTTGATGCTGCAATTAACTCACTCCGTGGGGTTCGACTGAGCGTGGTAGGCGGTTGTTTTCTTATACTTAATGCCCAAGGCGGTGCATGTGTGAACAAACACCTTCGCAGTGAATTAAGACGCGTTGTGTGTAATCAGCTGAACGAGATGAACTCCATGAGCTTGAAACTACTCCACAATGCAAGCATACTAGCTCAATCTTTGCAGCAAGTCCAAGTTGGGTGCCTCCTCGTACCTTCATCCCAATCGCGGTGCACCGGTGGCACGGGGTCCGAGATAGCAGGTCGTCTAGGGCATCCATTTGCACAAGGAAAAATTTTTCGCCTTCACTTGTAGCGGTGGCAGCTTCATGATTGCGCTCCATTGCCTGAAATTTCCGCTCCGTCGCTGGCATAGCGCCAAGTTCTCTTTGCACAGCAGCGCGTTGTTGATCCGCCGCCTTTTTCTCCTCACACGTCAGGAAACTTGTTCGCAAATGCACAGTTGAGGACGCGATCGCACTTGAGGCCAATGAAAGAGAAGATGCGGAAGCCACTGTCGATGAGCACGAGACACCAGGCGCACTTGTAACGACAAATTCTTGTACCGGCGGAGCAGGAGTCCCGTTGCTAGGCGCGTCGATGCGGCCACTTTCTTGCGTAGATGAAGCAGAAGCTGCCCCACAGGTATCGTTGGCGCGATCACCGTCGGCGCACGTGCGAGCGGAGAGCCTCGCCGCGCAAACAAGCTTCATAGCTCGCTTCCTTGCACCGAACGATTGTAGCGTCTTCTTTTTCGTTGGGCGCATCGTGAGCGAACAAAACAACGGTCTCGTATAGACGGTTGAAAATCGTCTCGTAAAGACGGTTGATAATCGTTTCGAAGACAGTTGAAACGTGCAGAGTATGCGAACGGCTGCAATGATACACGGAAGCGAGCGGAACACAAAGACGCCGGACGGAGGAGCAGCAGACGAGCGGCCGCATCGGCCGCATTATGCGCAAGAGCGCTACGTCATCGCGCGCAGCAGCCAATGGCAGTCGCGGGCTCCCCCGCGTCCTTGGGGAGCGCGCGCTTCGCCCAATCAAAGCTGCGCGCCTCAGCCGCGTGAAGCTTGAAAGCTCTCGCGAGCCCTCCAATCATGAGCGGCTTGCTCCTCTCCTGCGCTGCCACCGGCGACGCAGGTGGCGGGGAAAGAAAGAGCAAGAATTCACAAACAAAACAACACCAAAATGGCGGCGCTCCATCGAGCGGTCGAGAAACTGCGATCACGCCAAGTTGGGGTATTTTGAGCGCTCGCGCGCCGCTCAAGGGCCCCCGTGGCATGTTCTAAACTTTATTTCAAATGGTTTCGCGACGAATTAGACGTTGATATTTACAGAAAAGGTAGTTTATGACACATACTGCCCGAATATGTGGTTTGCCAAAAATCGACTTTTTCGCGATTTTTCGGTTTTCAAAGGCCGCGTCCCCCCTTAAGCTGCACGGTTGTGCCCTCGCGATCTCCGACGCCAGCGTAGCTCCCGCCGACTGGTTCGCCCTCCGTGGTCTCCTGACGCCGTGCAGCTCTCGCTTTGTGGTGCTCCGCCTTTGGACTGCTTCGACCGGATCCCCACTTTCCTATCTCCTTCTTTTTTGCGTGGCTTGCCTGTCTATTTCTTCATCTATTTCCTTCTATTCTTTTTATCCCTCCTTCCCCCCACCCCTATAAGGCACTGCGCCGTGTCACCTGAAAGCAGACAGAAATTAGGTGCCTTTTTCTTCTTTCTTACAACCACTACCACCACCACTTGTTGCAAGCTCCTCCCCCGTAGCGTCGGCAGGCATCGATCGTTGTGCTCGCAGTGTTCGTGCATTTGGAGTTAGGCCTGTCACGCGCTGTGGTGCGCGACAGGCCAAACTCCGAACAGTGCGCGACAGGCCTAACTCCGAACGGCGGAGCTCACGGATGTGGAGATTGTCGCCGAAGCTACTGCTGAGCAGCCAAATGTAGACTCTGCCGAGGTGGATCCTGCAAGCGCTGATGGTGCCCCGCTCCCGACATTAGCTGAGGTCGTAGCTGCCTTGGCCCTTGTGCGCCGCCACTGTGGCGCGATTGAAGGCACCGGCCAATCACTTATGGATTGCCTGGACTATATTGAGGACGCAGTCGTCAAACACGCCCTGGCCAACAAAAAGCAGGCTACTCTTTTTCAATATTTTAAACCAACACAATAAATACTATGTTTGAATCCTCAAGTGAGTATTTACTGCACCACGCTTGAACGGTTCGTTGGTTGTTTTCAGCAAGCTGTTGACGCATTTTTTCCGTGATTTTTTTTTATATGGAATTCTGGCTATATCGAACTATTTCGCGGTCGCCGCGCCGTTCGATATATCGAGGTTTGACTGTAATTGGTTGCATGAGGCTTGGCGGACGTCTGCCTCGTGGCTTGACACTTTGGCACACACTACATGAATGGGCGACGCGAATCACATTGCGCTCCATACCTGGCCAGGTAGCGAGGCGACACAACTTAGCGTAAGTTTTGGGGCCGCTCGCATGTTCAGCAATGCTCGAGTCTTGAAAGTAGCAAAGAAGTGCTCCCCTCAATGTGCGCGGTATCACGACTTTAAATGAATCACTTCTGTCATCTTCAGATGGTATGTAC